ATCCTCGTAAAGCACTCGTAAAGAATTTATATGGGTTCGGCGCAGTCGAATTCCTCGTCCTTCAAGAACTAGCCGCGACCAAGGTTTATTAGCAGGTTGATCCTATTCTTCTAATAGGACATTTTTGCCGTAAGTGTATTGAAGTAACGTAAAATGGCAAAGTGTTCGATAACAATATTTAACGAAATGTTTTTTTTACAAGGTTCGTGTCCTGAGATCTTTTCGAAACAAATTGCGCGCTGTTGAAGCGTAATACCAATGTTTGCCAGCGATATCCTTTAGGTTTTCGTTTATAGTATTATTATAGAACAGAGACGGGTGGACGGCCGAAGTATTGGGGATTTGCGCTGCTTCGAGCGTCAGCCCATGACGCTGTCTTTGTTGGTCAGTACTAAGCTTCATCGCAAAAAATAAAACAATTAATATTGATTTATTCCTCTCTACATATTTCTATAGTATTTTAAAACAAGCCTCCAAAACACGTCCGTGGCACGTATTCCTAACAAGAGTAGCGTAAGGGTTGTATCGATTGTGGGGGAACATTAATTTCTAGCAATACATGTGTTCATACGTCATTGCTAGATATGTTAGAATAATGTTATCGATCTGTACTTTGATCTGCAAGTATATCTAATACACGTCTCAAGCGTGGTTCGTATGTACACAACCACCGACAAAACAAGTCATTCCGTCTAGCATGAATTTCATCATTCTCTATAATTCACTAACTAATGAAAGCGCTCTCGGCTATGCAGCGCCAGATCCCTAAGTCTACTTTACGCTTGCAGGGCATTTGGTTCTGTGATCTTGCTGAGTTCCCCTTCCCGCACTGTGTTACCCACAAAACGTATCCGAGGATCTCGATCAGGCAACTGCCCTTACTGGAGCGCATTACTTGTATTAAATGTAGACGTTTTCTTTTGCTGCTCAAGTACATTGGGTGTTTCCAATCTTTCATTAAAACGTTAATAGATATGGGTCTATATTTACAGCATTCCGTTTGCCCCATTTCAGCAACAGCGCTTGCCCTTTACGAATGGGATGAAAGATACCAACAATGCGCTGAACAAGGAATGAGAGCATAACGGCTTCAAAGGGATAACTGCAGAAGCGTGTCACACAGCTTCTCATTACACTTCTCCAGAGCAAGTTATTGCGCCGGATTGTTGAAAGCGATCCATAGAACCGGCTACACCCAGCACAACATCGTATATGTCGTTATTATACCGGTTCGAATAGAAGCTTTAAAATACTGTCTTCGTGGAGGAGTACAACTTCAGATAAAGGATGTCGTCAGACCTTCCGCTCTGTTAACAGTCTTTCATGCCCGAAGACGTTCTGATACGTTTTTGTACTTCGGCACTTTCGCCAAAGGCGACAACAGCCAGACAAGTAGAATAGTAGGCAACGCATGTGCAGGTAAATATTATTGTTACATAAAATTATTATTAGGGGTCGAAAGTCCGCGCAAAGCACCTAACTATCATTATTAGAAACTCTACGGCAGTAACTTGAACTGCGATTAACAGAACACCAATAATGCGTTATATCCAACTTACAATCCTCCCTAGTTCGCTTAACTTTCTGTGTAAAGATGTTTGCAATAGTGCTTATCAGTGAATACGTTGTGAAACTGGCTTACAAAGGCTAAGAAGACACTAGATGATGCGTAGGAGTACACGATTAAGCATCTAGCTGAAGACTAGTTAAAGTTGGCTGGTCAAGCCTCCTCCACCGACATCCATATTTTTTTTCAGGCCGTCAGCTAATATTACATCCTTGTTTACTGTTTACGAAATAAACCTAAAGCATTTAGCATAGAACTGCCTATTCGAAATATAATTCTTGCATTAATAGGTTCATTGAATTGGAGCTTATTGACTGAATTGCCCGCTTCCCTGGACCTACATAAATGCTTGTTTGTGTAAGCCGATCAATGCCTAGCCGTATTTCGAAAAAATAAACTGAGTCGACCAATGGGAGAAATAGCGGACGGTAAGATGTACGGTCCGCTTGACGTACACCGTTCCTCTAACTATGGCTTCCTCTAAGACCTTCAAAAGACACAGGGTTTATCAAACCATCTTTTTTTATGAATGCAACCTCAGTTGCTGCTTAATCTGTTGTTTGTTTCCATATATTCTATGACGAGTTTCCGTGATAAGTCAAGTCTGAGCATTGCTGAACGTGTGTCAGATTGATGGTTCTGCATAGCGATCGTCCTTGGTATCAGAAATATTAACTAGTACTTGGGTGTCATTGAAGATTCGTCGTTGTTAATCCCGCAATAGATAGAACCATATCGGGCCCTCACTCTCTTAACCTCTATATAGAGCTTGGTACGAATCAAAGACATGTGCGTCATACAGAGTCCTGATCAATTCATAAGCTATGTATATAGGTCTAGCTAAACGGGTTCGTCTGTCGAACATTAGGACCAGTAAAATATGTTCAAGTAGTTCGTACCAAAATTAAATAAGCCCCTATCGAGGTCAAGGAGCACGAAAGTAACTTAGCCGTTACAGTCATTTTAAGTAAAATTACGTGTAGCATGATTATCAAAAAGTCCGGGAACTATTAGGTTGATGCTAGGCTTCCGCACTTGAAGCTTTTTCTAAAACTTCCTTCTTTTGTTTTTCCTAATTTTTGTTTACTTCTGATGTACCATCCATAAACGCGTTTCCTGCTCTATTAACATGCTATAACGGCATTGTGCTGTGAATGCAATTTCAACTTAAAACTTTTCAAAGATGGGTGTTCCAGATTGAAAAAAGCGCATCTTTGACAACATTGGTATTATGTCAGAATTGTCACCGGTGATGAGAAGCGGTATCTACAGGTTAACATGTGACCAAAGACTGGAATATGTGGCTTCAGCAGAGAAGCCAAGATCCGGCGTTCAACTATGTCTTTATGCAAAAATCTCTGTTCTATGGGGTTGCAAGCGCCTCATTTACTGAATTGCATTTGCTGGATCAAACTTTGGCTGAGTCAGACAGGTTATTCAAGAGACCCAATAGACGTGGTCGGGCTGTTCTACTCAACGCCAACGCGAGATCGCATGCGATAAATAATGGCAAAGCTGAATTTTGAATAAAAGATTTCGGTGCACCCTCCTCCATATTGATCGGACCTCAAGCCGACAAATTTGCACCTTCTTTGTTACACTGGCTAATGACGTCCGTTGTCCTATTTTCGTCGCAAACCCACGACTCAAAAAGTGGTTACAAAACTTCGAGACGAAATCCGCTACTTTTTGGCGAGACGGCATGTATCATTTAATGGAAAAATGGGAGAAATGCATAAACAGTGACGGGAGATATATTCCACAATGGTTTATTGTAACAAGGATAAAAATGTGAAGTCTTCTATTTAGTAAAGATCTCTGAAGACTTAATATGCAACGAAATTGTCGGGTCCAAAAAGTTCCGTTGTCTAAGAAACAGAAGTTATTGCTGCTGGAGCGGTTGATGACGATTATCGTAAAGACACTCGATCTCATCTGTCTCGACTCCCAGATGGTTCACGCGAATTTTATGATGGTGTAGTGGTAAAGCGTTTGTCTCGTGAGGTAACCTAGGAGCGAGCCTTGGCGTAATAGCTTGGCTTTAGCATAAGCACTTGGCTTCGATAGCTGAAAGCAAGCAGCTTTCTAAAGCAATGTCTAAAGGTAATTCCAAGCGTAGAGCAGACGTGACTCGAACGAAAATCAACGGTTCGTGTCGCGCCGGAAAAGCGTGAATCCTGATGGTTTAATGGCTGCAACCGAACCTATACAGGAAAAATATTCATTCTAATAGGCCTCTACGACATTAACTGCAGTGCCCTACTATTATGATGCAACTTATCGTCTCATCGTCCTGTTTGATCCCACCTCGATCTGCAGGCGCCTACTCCCTGTAGCCCGCCTTATTTGAATTTCCTCTTCGGTTTCATTCCCCTCAGCTTCCCGCGACGGCAACGGCAGCGCTGCAATCGGCAGCAATCTTTCACGTTCCTTGCCAGAAACCTTGGTGTGCATCAATCCATCACAGTGTCAGTCCTACCTCAAGACCATCCCCGCTTTATGGCCTATGGTAACAACACTCTCCAAACTGCTCGCTGCTGTTTGCAATATTGCTACCTGACCCGCGTCCGCTCTTTACCTCCGGAACGCCCGGAGGCCGTCTCGGTTTCTTTTGGTGCCAACGTTCGAAGGCAGAACAAGTTATCTCGCTATGCTCTCTTTTCAGTTGGCCACTGAGGCCAATACGTTTAGGTATAAGGCTCATATAAAGACACGGTGACAAATATGCGTATATACAGGGCGTGGATAGCCTTTACATCGATTTCTAACACAGCTAACACGATATCTATAATACTGAATGAAGAATAGAGTCTAAGCCTGTATAATCAGGGCTCATTTGCGGTCTATCCGCATTATTCCTTACCTGTGCAGCGTCAATTGTAACTCTTTGCCTGCAACAGACGTATGCCTATAGTTTGTAGATAACCAAGCTCGAATAATCGATTGTCTGATACCATTGAACATGTGAATATTTAAACTCTAAATACGGTGAGTAAATACGGTAAATAATGAGGTAGTCTGAAAGAAATTTGTTAGCCTCGAATATTTTGTATGTAACGGAAATTCATTTGTGAGCATGACTATGTACGTAACGATGAAAATTAGGTAAATATATTTTCAAGTTCGGTATTAAACGGTGACATCTTCGTCAAATGAATACAGGTCAGATTGTGTGTTGTATGACGAAGGCGGACACATTTACTGGATAGGGGCTGCATACTTGATTTGAAAGTGTACACAATAGAATAAACATGACTCGTACTTCTACAGGTTTGACAAGATGTTTCGCGAGGGCAAAAAAAAACTAGAAATATTAAAAAAAATCTCTAATTTCTGTGATTTTCAGTGGTTGGCTTTTATCGATGAGGGAAATTCGTATGATTGGACGCAGAATCGAATGCAAACGTCTCCTTCATATAAATGCTGCATTTACCTTAGTAAATGCGTGCTGCTATCACTTCAAGTGTCGAATAGTACTTTTAGTTAAGAGGTCAAAGCCTAAATCCCTTTGTAGTACGTCCACTACAATTAAGAACTATACGCGACTGCTGAGACGAATCCTAGAAACATTCAAAGCAAACAAACATACGGTTAAGTCTCGTTCAGGTTAGCTCTCGAATTTATTTTTGTTATGAGGCTGATGGCACACCGCACCTCTTGCCTATCGTGGTATATTTAAAGGCACTCAATAGCCAGAAATAATGAGATACTCCAGGCGCCGGAAAAGCTGCTAATAAAAATATTTACGATTTCATGTAACAAAGAACACTGTACATACATTTTTCCTTACCTTTTTCCATTTTTCATACAAAATTTACATTTGTATTTCCTCGCCCCACAGTTTGCCTTTAAGAAGTCGTTTTTTTTTTTGCCGAATGGAGCCTTGGGCAAGCTTTCGTTACTCTTTAACCAAATAAATAATTTTATGTTTGGCACTGCTGTTAAGCATTGCTTCACCCGCTCAGAGACTAATCGTTTCCGTCATTACTCAGCACTTACTTAAAGGTCATCTGTGTCGCAATGCCCTTTGTTTTGTCCAACAACGGCACTAGTTTGTGCGAGTATTATATACACATATATGTATAAGGCTACAGGATGATGCGGTGGCCTTATTCCCCGTAGCGACAGAGGGCAGATTGCTGGAAAAGAAGCTGTCTGACATCGAATCTAGCTTCGCAGCAACGACGATTTCGAACCTTTGAACTGCGCCCTGCATACACATCAAGGGTCAAACCTTCTCGGACTTTGCACTCAAAGCTGACGTGTCAAAGAACCTCTTCTAAATCGCCAACTTCTAAAACGGTTTTCAAGGGCCTCGATGCGTACTTGATTTGGTAGATTCCAGACGCGCGAGTTTTGAATACTCGGAGGACCGCTGTTTCATTTCGCAGACTGTGTGAGTGCGACGTAGTCCCGTCACCATGCTGAATATAAGAAGTTTGAATAGGATATTATTGACTTAGTTGTTGAGCACGGGCAACTGCATGATTTTTGATAGGCTTTTTTCTCCGGAACGAAAAATCGCTCAGAATAAGATACGCATTTCAAGAGTGCTTTTTATTCAGTAGAGAAAAGGTGCTCGCATGCTCTCTGGGCCAGGCTGCGTATTTGAAAAGCAAGCTAGCCTGCAATTATTGCCTCGGTAAAGGTTATCAAAATGCCCTCTTTGTATGCTTGTTTTCTACTATTTATGTCTTGAAATTTTTACTCAGGAACTAGTGCCCTTAAGCTACGATTATCAGTTTTTCTGTATATGCGTGCAGGCCAGTCTTCATCGGCATTTGAGGACAGAGCTTGAAACCTGTGCGTGCATCTACTTTTATAGATAGGATTCAGATAACTGTAGCTAACAATAACTTTTAGTTCAGTTTGCGTAGTATACCATAGCTAGTGAATAGAGAAATGGTGACTATTTATTCTATTCCATTTAAACTATATATTATCAATTATCAACATATCTCTGCTATCATTCGCTATGCTGATAATAATGACGCTACCGAGTCATTATTATCACAGAGTTAGCTATAATGGATATAGCAGCGCTACCTTGGCCTTTTGGCCAACCCGGGCGACTATAGTGACGACGTGTTATTGAACTGCACAAAAAAAGGCTTCACTGTAGGCCTTGACTGACAGTATGCATAAAAAGCACACCTTATGTCTTCTTGTCGGCGCAGATTTGTCACGCTTTTTCAGCTTAGCCTGTCTGCATAAATTTTTTTAACTTCCATCAATGTCTCGTATTCTTACGCAACGAACCGTTGTGTCCGCGTTGGCTTTCTGCCGCACACATTCGATTGATCCGAATGAAGACAAGGTAGATATTTCCTTAGAGCCTCAAAAAAGGAGCGGGAAAAATTTCCACTTGATCTACCTCTCATTCCGCCTAGATTCTCACCTGACTATGGCAATTCGTCACATCGATTATGCTAGATAAATGCATGTCTTTTAAGACTTGGGTTTTTGCACGCACTTATTATAAACTATGATCAGTTATAGGAAACATTTTTTTGGTATTTGTAAGTATTCAACGTTTCTTAAACCTCATTTTACATAAAAATGACCCACGTTTGCGTTTAAGGCTATAACGTAACAAGTGTTTTTTATCCGGTGCGATTCTCTGCGACATCTGCCGGTCGACTTTCTGCCACAACTGTACCTAGTTGTTTTGTCGATTGAGTGGGCATTCAGCATATCAGGACACACCCGAAAAATTCACACGAGAAGTCAATGAAAAGGCCTGAGGACGACACCGTTATTGCAACAGAATAGGCCTTGTATTGGACAAACTCTTTTAGATGTAATTCTACACAGTCCGGAGTTCTCAAGAAGCTCTGAGCATGGTGAAAACTTTAGCTAAAGATAGGACACCGTAGCGACGCCGCAACAGACATGCGTCGCTTAAGCTAGAAGCCGTTAAGAACACGTTAAGAGACAATATACTTGCCAGAGTGCAAACCATATCTCAAAAGGACAGAACGCGACCTGGGCTACCATCTCGACTTGAAGCCAAATATGCAATTTGGTGACTTGGATTATCTATTACAATGCGGCTGCAGTACCTAATCCTTTGAGAGATCTTAAATAGACAGACATATTCGTTTTGTGCACCGATCTTATTTGATCGTGTATTTGAGAGATCCCATTTTTTTGATGAGAAAACCCACATGCGGGTTTTTGTAAACTGGCTGCTGTTTAGCCCAACTATAATTCTTTTTACATCAAAGAGATAAATGTCAAATGTATCATGTGAAACTATGGGTTCATAAATAACATATAGATAATACTATGAATTAAAACTTATCTATTGTCATATCAATGAAAATATGATAATAACTGGTTTCAGATCAGCGTAGGTGGAGTCAGATGCCAAAAACTGATCCCGTCGTTAGACGAACAGGTTAGTCCAGCTGTGATACCTACATCTTCGAAGCGTATACACATTATTAGAAGCTATGTTGTCAAAAGGATATATATTATACACAATATCCAAACCTGCGCCATCTCCTAAAAAGGGTTTTAATAACGATGGCGAATCTTCTTGTTCAGCGTGACAATATATTTTTTCTTCACTGGCATTTCCAGTGAAGAAAAAATATATAAAACACTGAAATGGCGCGCGCAAACACGTATATCTAACTACACGTCAATCCACCAAATAACAAAAAGATAGAAAATACGATGAAACAGGCAAGGTCACAAGCCATGCTAGGGACTATTTCACGGTCACGTTACAGCGGTTCTACGACACGTGATATCACTGTCGTCGTCTACAGAACATAACCACCCATCGACTTCAGTCGTTGCTACAGGAGGGAGGCGTGGAAGCAATGCAGAAGACACCGGGTCAGCCCAAACTGCGCCCTAAAGAGCTAGACCTAAGAGTCAATACTAAGAGTATTAACGCCAAATCCGCACGCTTACCAAATTCATTACACAACTATCTGAAAGGTATCCGGTTTAACATGCGCGGGTAAACAATCGTCTGTAGCCGGGTCCGAAGCAAACGTTGAAAAAACGGCCCAAAAGGTAACCTCGTAACGGTACCATCGTATTATATGGATAATCAATAGGTGGGACTACTCTCTGGCATATGGTCGTTAAACCTGACCCACAAATGCGTAACGATCTACAGATTGTAGCAATACATCGTTTAGTGATTGTGTTTAATATGTTCAGAATGTGTTTTCCTTACGAAGTCCATTGTCAGATGCTAATAGCAAGCTTCAATTTATCTTTTGAGCGATACTACATATGTAAGCGTGCCCTTCGGATCCTCAGAGTTTGGGCTGGTTCAACCACTTTTATTTTTATTTAAATCGTTTGCTGTTCTTCTTTAAGCTTCCTATAAAATAGGTAGTTATAATGATTGATATTCAGTTATATTGAAATCTACTAGTGTCTTCAAGAGGACAGCGTATAACCCTTGATCATTCGATTACTTCTACGTGTTTAAAAAACCTTAACGTACATACCGTGATAAGAGTTCTAGTTAGAAGGCTCGGTTAATAGCGCGATCCCACCAGAGCTGACTAGGACAGTCTTCATTGATAGCTAAAGTTGGACAGAATTAAGGGGCTAAAATCACTTATCATTACCACAGTCAAATCGCAGGCGACAAATTGCTAGATTTATGGCATGCGACCAATTTTCTGACCAAATGATATCGATATCAGATATGCAAAATAGCTACGGAGAAGATAAGGCTTGATTAGTCGAAATTAATGAAAAATTTTCAAGCGGCAACGTCTCCTGAATAGAAAGCAAATGTCGGCCGATCATTTAGTATAAAAATACCTATTGAAGTCAACAATTGAGCTTTCGTATTGCTTTCTTATTCAGTAAACGGTAGTTATAAAATGATTGCATTACTCTATCAAATGCAAGTTTTCTACACGCAGTCGATACAAACGGGCTCATTAGTCAGCTACCGATGGACGGGTCGTCTCCAACCATCGTCGGGGTAGGTACCTATGAATTATTAATGAGCTTATCCTTAAAAACGACCTGATGTACCTGCCGTAATACTATTTGCCTAGTTGCTTCATTTCATATTGGAGAAAAACACAGTGTTCCTAAGAAACAGTGTTCAGGAACGCGAACAGACGCACCAACAGCCCTTTGCCGACGACACAAAGGTGAGGGCAAAAATAGTGCGTTTCCTAAGAAAGAAACGGCAGTTTACCAACATGAACTAGCTGTAAGTATTAATTAACGCTGAAAGCATAACCATGCACGGGTAGTGGTAATGCCGAAAATACAGCCGATGAAACACTCGATGCCGAGCGAAGCTATCGGGCGTTTAAACTGTTAATAGCATTAAATGTTCGTCAACGACCATGACGACGACCAACCTAGGAACGTACTATTCGGTTTTTGTAGGCTCTCGTTTTGCCTACTTGCTATACGAATATCTTCAAAGAGAGAAGGCCTTTTTATTAGAAATTCGAAAGTACATTGAACAGTTACATTTGTCGTTTACGGCACTGGCAGCTCGCTAAGGCGCACATGTACTATACGCGGCGATTTTCTCTAATGATACCTTCTAATAAAGTAGGCC